ACACACACACACACACACACACACACACACACACACACACACACACATTCACACAGTCGGTTGAGGACGATCTGTTTTTCAAAAGCATTTTTATTAATTCTAACAGTGTCTATTTTTTCACTGTGAGAACAAATCCTTTATAGCCTACTACAGCTTTCTCATTTGGTTTCACATCACGCACACACACACACACACACACACACACACACACACACACACTACTCATTTTCTACCTCGAAAAACTGGATTATCAGTCAAACTGTCCTGATTGATCAGATTAATTTATTATTGTTAAAATCAGAGAAAATGGGAATATTTTACTCGTGCTTTAATTAAACCTTCTGTCCATTGATGTGAGGTGAAAATTACTATTAGACCACAATAGGATGGGAATTGAAAGAGATATTTTTTAACCCAAATTATGAGGTAATTCATCTCCAAGCCTACATACTAAAAGAAAGACCTATATGTCTTATATGTCTAATCAATGACGGGATTTATTTTAACTAGTGGGCTACTAAAATAAATCCACAAAAGGCTATTAATCAATGCAATGCCTTATATTGTTTAATAAAACACAACTGTAACTTGCTAATATAACACCCTTGATGATGATTTGGTTTGCATTCCCTGAAATGATAATAATTCCCAGGTCTAATCTCATATGAGAGACACTCACATATGATCTCACAGATTATACGAGGCCTCAGCAGCAGCAGCAGCAGCAGCAGCAGCAGCAGCAGCAGTGGGTTGACGCGAGCGCGCAACATTTTGATTGGATTACTGTAGATCCTGATAACCGGAGGCATCCAGAGTTGAAAGTTGAAGGGGTCACTGCGAGGCCAACATGCTGTGGTTAATTTGTATTTCATTTGGTATGAGGATACGCTGCAGGAATGTGGTGTTGACTTTATCGCTACAACGCTTTGAGATTTTTGACAAGTGTTCTGAAATAACCTAAGACTGGAGCCTATCAATATGTTAAGTTCATATATGTATTGCTTTTTTAAAAATAAGTACAACATACAATAAAATATGAAAATAAATCAGATCACAGCCTGTTTGGAATTCTCGTGCGTAAATGTGCCACATTATTGCGCATCGGCACGTGGCTATCTTTTGTTTCAAAAATGTATCCACAACTGCAGGTCTTACCGTGTTTAAATATCAAATTCCCCGGTGACAGTCACCAGCTCGGTGCACTGCCTCTCTTGCACAAGCGGATGCTGCAGTGAAAGCGCGCTGCCACTGGGAGAGTCTGGATTTGTGCCCGGTGTGTGTGCGCGTGTGTGTAAATGTAGACCCATCAAGTTTCCGATCTGCTCTGATACTCGATGCCTACCAATACACAGACACGCTCAGACACACGCGGAGTCTTTTTTTTTTAGATAATATCATTACAGAGTTCACAAAAGTGAAAACGTGTAAAGTAAGAGTAAAGATAAATTAATAATATTAACATTATTATTTCCTTTTACTGATTATGGGTTATAATAATATAGTCACCTATAGGCCTACACACGAATTCAAGCAACAAGCAACAAACCTTGACTTTGCTGGAATTACTTTTTATGAAAAAGTTTGAAAAAGTATACGGAATAAAAGGCCTATATACTTTGAGTAATTTTGAAAAAGCAGTTAAGTGAACATACATAGCTTATTTAACCAATGTCGATCAGACCACACCCGGAAATATTTGTGTGTTGCTGTCAGTTAAGAAGGATTACCATGAAATATTTATCGCACTCATTATATTGGATTATAGTTGGATTTTGTTTGCGCCATTTTATAACCCACAGGTCAATTATTTGACTTTCCAACCAATCAGAAATGAACAGACGTGGCAAATCAAAATGAAGACCTAAATATTTTTTAAAGAAAGAAAAAATGCTATTGCGTGAAAAAGCAAATTAAACAGATCCATCATTTATTATCACACTTTACTCAGAATTACCTTTATGTGTAGTTACATCCCAAATACACTAAAATGTTGATTTACATTAATTATTAGCCTCTACATTTTTTTAAATAATAATTCAACAGGCCACAGGTATAGATGTTCACTTATCCGTTTGATGCCACAGGGTTGTTACTGTAAAATTAAAATAAATATTTCTGAGGATTTTTGTATGTGTGAAAACAAAATGTTAGCGAGGAACATTGTAAGGAACTAATGCTGCTCCTTTAAATAAGTCATAACTTCCCAGTCAAAATGAGTGATTTGGCAAAACTCACTCGTCTGTTTGTTGATCATTCAAGCACAACAGTGTGATAGATAAGTCTTTGCAATCCGTTCATTTATTTTGAAAATCGAAATCATTTCACGTGTTGCTGAAAGACAGTTTCATCAAATATTTCCGAAAACTTCTGTAAAACTTCCTCTGTTGAAGTTTACTATCACACAATCTAATAATAGTTAGAAATAATTAAATATAATCCGTTTAATTGACTTAAAGCGACAGAATTTAACTGACTTATTCTGTTGTTTATAAATGCACATTTTTAATTCTGGATAGAATATCACAAAATTTCTCTGACAAATTTTTGTGGGCACCCAAAAAAACTTTTCAATTTGGTCCAAAATCTGCTAATAACAAAATATATAGACAAAAACAACATATTCATTTTTTAAAAATCAGTAGACAGTAGACAGTTATTAAGTAATTTGTATCAGAAAACTAATTCAAATGTTTCATTCAATTTAAATGATGTAAATCACCTTTCCAAAAGGAAATATTTAGCCTATTTGAAAACTCAATATTTTCACGGTAGTATCCTAATATTGTGCATGACACTACAACACACATATACGGTCACAGGTTGTTTTTTTGTGTTATATTTACTTAGCACTATTTTTGAGTATTTAATGCAATTTTCTAACTGCGTACTGCTTTTTGGACTGTAACTCTTCATATGGTTTTATAACTTATATCCCTCAGTTGGTTGGTTTATGCAGAGGAAAAGTAAGAGGCAAATGAGGTGGTGGTGGCGGCTGGACGGCTCATTATTGTCCCATCCTGGCTGCAGCTGACTGGATCCTCTGTTCTCTGTATGGAGGAAGTGGTGACGGGGTCCCAGACCTCCTGCACTCAGCAGGTCTGTCTCACACACCTCCAGCTCGGCCAGAGCGACTGTGTGCGTGTGTGTGTGGCATAAGAGGGCAAGGTCAACCCATTTCTCTGCAAACAATCACATCACACAGGGCAAAATACATTCCAACCCCCCTCAACCTCCAGTTTGTAAGGTGGTCTGATGTGGGAACAGAGGAGGGAGGGGGTCTGGCAGCGGTCCAGACGGGGCCCCGAGTCCAGATGAAGGAAAACCTGTTCTACATTAATATGACTTCATATTACACATGTTAGGGAGACTCTGCTTTCTGCACAGCTTAGTTAAATGTAACGCTCTTCATTGAAGTCCGTGTGTGTAAACTGTCTTGTTGTAAATGTCTATCAGATCAGATCACTCAGTGGTTTAGAAGTGAAGACCTTTACATATCACACGTCGGTGGTCAGTGTTGCTCAGAGACTTATACAAGTTATATATTTAGTCAGTTTCATCATTTTTATTTATCATTCCACACACTGATTAAATACATATAATTGTATCAACTTTTTTTGCTTGCATGGGTGAACTCTCCGTAGACCTTGAAAAACTCTTGAAAAAAGTCAATCGCCATTATACCTCCAATCATTTACAACAAATGTGTGATGATTTTACAACACATGAACAACTGACACACATTTCTTTCTGCCGCTGAATAACAACTTGTCAGTATAACTTGATTGTACGTCTTCTTTGTAGCCAATTAAGTGTACATTTTGATTTAATATAGTCAACAGTGTTTATTCTGAAATAGCAAAGTAGATCAATGTATCAATCAATTTATGCAATACTTCTTTTCTCATCAGGCTGTGTTCCGATCATTGACTGTAGATAAGAAGATCTGATCTCATTTTATTATTATTGGGGCTTTTATTTTGTAGGGGACAAACTAGGAGAAGTAACATCAAGACCATACGCAGGAAACGATTGTACTCTGTCATTGTTTAGCAGCTGACACGTCATCCTCGATTCATAATTGTTGTCATGTTTTTATGTTGTGAATGATATAGAAATAACTAATGGCCACTATAAATATATTTATTGGGTTTCAAAGCAGTGCTTGAATGCGAGCAGGACTGCTTTAAGAGCTCGTAGCGTCTTGAACTGCTCATTTGAAAGTGTGCTGAATAAAGTGTGTCGTCTTGCAGCTCCATCTAGTGGCTTTCTTCTGCAAACAGGGAAATAGCAGTGGAACAGTGGAAAGCAAATAAATCAATGTGACAAAGTCCAAAAGAAACAAACATTGCACTTGACTTCATCGTATACATATTAACCACCTGAACTACAAATATAGCAACAAAGCATAATAATCCAGCTACAAGAAAATGACTTTATTTAGGAGCAACATAAATCACCAGTGTGATGGCATCAGAAAGAGGCAGCGAAGGAGGGAGAGACGGAGCAGTCTGGTGCAGATTCATCCATGTGGGAACATTAACATTTAGGGTGGCAGTCTGCCCTCAGAGCTGCCTGTCACTCACAGGCGTCAAACTGAAGTGCAGCATGACCTTTACATTATGTTTGTGCACACACACACACACACACACACACACACACACACACACAGAATGAATTCAACCTTGAAGGCTTACTTATTGTGTGTTGCCATTTTTCAGACCTTTACCTCTTTATTGTCTCTCAAACCGTTTGCACCTAAAGGCTGTGAAAGAGTATTTATGGAGAGATGAGAAGCTCACCAGAGAAGTTGATTATATTGGTGGGAGGTTTTAAATCAGTGTGTCAAAGGGCCTCGCAAAGAAGAGGGTTTTTAATAATCTGTTTTACACAAATAAACACCGACCTCCACACCATCCCTTTCGTTCTTTTTCTTTCCTTAATAAACTTTCATCGTCACCACTGCTCCGTCCTGACATTCTGCTTGAATTTCTGTCAGTACCTAGAGGAGCTCCGTCTTTAACAGACTGAAAACTCATTTCAACACAAGCTGACATTTCACAGGCACTCAGGGCCTTTTTTTATTTACCTAAAGACACAATGTTAAACTGTTCAGTGGAGACATTTTGCTCTCGTCGGTCCTGCAGCGACACAGCTGCACTGGGAGGCAGAGAGGGAAGTGGACCGAGGTCAGGACAGAGTTTTAGGCGTTTTACCTAATGGACCTTTGCACTGGACGTGTGAAACACTTCACTTAACACAGCCTCTGGGCACTAGATTGGCATGTGTATGGCATGCATGCATGTGTTAAGGGTGGCTGTGTTAAAGGTCAAATAAATTGGCCCTGACGTGCCTGGTAGTTGGGACATTTTTGCACTTGGGAGAGAAAACAAAGATAAAACTTTAGAAGTCTAAATGCCACCCCTTCTATCAGAAACGAATTTAGAAAATGTCAAGTTAGTTTGTGCTATTTGTGGTGCAAAATGTGGATTGACACAGCAACAGCCACTAGACAGCAGAAAGTGAGAAAAGTCAAACTCAAACAAAGAGTGAACTTTCGAGTTGATCAAAAACAACCCAAACAAGACAAATAAAAAGCATCATTTAATGTACAAGAAAGAAAATTAACTCTATATGCAGGCAGACGAGTGCACACAGCTTCAGAAAACTGAAACAGTCGGGAACATGGTACCACATCAATGAAGTCTCGAGGTGAACCTGAGGAGGGCTGGTGTAGCAACACAAAGTATCTGAGGCATCGACTCAGAGGAAGCTGTAATATCGGCTGTAAAAGCTTTAAACAAAACAAAAAACACAAGCAAAAATGAGAAAAGCAAAGTGCAGAATTACAGTTAAATTACCAGAAGTAGTGGCACATTTTCCCACATAATGCTGGAATAAGAAAATCACATTTACAAAGCTGTCAATCAGCTGATCAACTGTACTTCGATGTTGGCAGTACATCCTACGACAAGTACCATCTAAAACACTGCTGTATCATTACGGTACCCTGTTAAAAGCTAAGAGAGGAGTCACAGTTTACTGACAGTTGATCTTCTTTGAAGTATTAAAAGCTTCTGTTTAAAACATAGTGCGAACACATAAACATTGCTGCTGACAACAAAAGAGCCCTCATTCAGCTGTACCTTTTTTATGAGACCTACACTTATACTTTCCCCCCCAGACACCTGATTAGATGCGAGTAAACAAATGCTTGTTAATTATTAATGAAGAAAAGTTGACGTCACATAACATGTGTTTCAGGAAGAAAGAGAAAATAACTACTGCTGGCTTTAAAATAAACCAAAAAGACCCAATTTTTCAAAAGTCTTTTGTGAAGATGAGCTTGAATATAAAAAAAAATATAGATAATAATGTGTTTAAATGCCTTAAACACTTCTTGGTAAATACTTCTAGCCGGGGTGAAAACAAGTTCTTGATGACAGAGTTACATCAACAACTGAGCCAAGTGCAACAGACTGAAAGCATGTGCCATAATTTGTTAGTCTGTAAGAACAATTAACAACAAGATTATTCAAGTTTTCAGAGGAAGTTGCACTAAAACCACTCCATCGTACTTCTTCACGGTCCTGTGAACGACAAACACTGCGCCTCTTGGTCCCCTTCCAGCTGGGTGCGTCCTTCGTCTGCAATGCAGCTGCAAGACCAGCAGGAGGCCCCCCCCATCTCACATCATGGCGATGAGGCGGATGGTCACAGTGTCACTTCATTAGCAGGGAACACTATTATTACCAGTCACATTCATTTTAAAGCAAGTACCAACTCTCAAGTCCAAACAGGGGTCTGGACAGACTTCACTGAACTTAGACGTCTGTGGTGCGGATGCCATCTTCGTCCAGGCTGAAGGGGAAGCTGCAAGGCTGAGGCTGCGAGCGGTGCCTCCGACGCCCGCTGGCCACATCTCCAGACACTGTGAGGATCCCCAGTCCGCTGGCTGAAGCTGCTGGATTGGCGCAGGGGCAAGGGGTTGCAGCGGAGAGGGAGTTGGAGGAGGAGGAGGTTGAGGAAGAGGTGGATGAGGAGGAGAGCGAAGGCATGGTGGGCGCAGAGCTGAAAGCACTGTCTTCATCCTCTGCATCCAGGATGGAGGGCTCACACGGAGGGACAGGCGTCCAGGGCTGCCAGCCCGGTGCCACAGAGCAGGACTTGACCAGTGCAGGTCGGCGCTCATCGCTCTGTTGACCTCGAGACGCCGAGGAGGCATTTTGACTTCGATAGAGAGAAGCAACACGTTTAGATGGAAAACCCTGCAATGAGAGAGACAGTAACATGATCAGTAACCTGGAGTTTTCACTTCTCCTCTAAGAACGTATAATGAGAAAGGATGGAAGATTTGTTTGTGTCAAAAGGAGAGACGACAGAGTTACCTTAGGGGGACCTCTGAAGTCCTGGATCTTCATCTCAATGTCCCTGATCCAGCCATGCATCTCCTCTGGAGAGTCTGTCTGTAGAAACACGTTATCAGAAGATAAAGCCTTGCAGAACTGCATATCTGCACTTATTTTCACACTTGTTGTTATATGTAAACTATTATATGCGTCACTGGCGATATTTTCTATATTTTTCTTACCGTCATGAAAAACCAACAAAAATGACCCTAAGTGTCACATTTACATAGTAAATAAAGATAAATAAAAATTGTTCTGTGTTTAACATGTTTTTTTTAAATCGCTATTATGTTTTCCAAACTTTTCAATATCAATGACCTGCTCTAATTCTTAACCATAATTCACATTTAATTTTAGTTTAAGATGATTTTCCACTTTGCTGTCTGCACTTCCACTATGATCATGATCTCGGTGTAATGTGCGTTTTTTTTATTATGCATGTGTTTTTTCAGTTTACTAAATGTTTGTCATGCTTCCTTTTTTTTTGCGCAGACAAAGACAAAAGCGCTCATGCTTGCAGCCTCTCTCTGTCTCTCCAGCACTTCCCATCTGATCAGACCCCACCGTCTCAGTCAGCTGTTCTCCCGGGAGGGGGCGACAGGATGTTATTAATGGTATGTTAACAGATGGCTTTGCCCATTTCACAAAAACAAACTTCTCATGCTCCTAAAATAAGAGCCAGTGCCACACATCAGCAGCAGAGCATTTAGTGAAAACAACAGAAGATACACCTGCGAATACAGACCCTCTCTGCTCTAACAGATTCATTTGTATATAATCATGCTTTCACCCAGAGCCAGAGAGCTCCCAACATAATTTAAAACTTGTGAGGAACTAAGCCTCTGATGGGTTGGTTGAACAGTAAGGCTGTACCTGAATGTAGAAGGTTCGGGAGCTGGTGATGATCTCAAACAGGTTGTCTCTCAGCAGGAGATCCCTGATGGACACACATAGTGGAAAATGATCATGCTGAATAAAACAGTGGCCAAGGGGAGGGCTAGATAGTATTTAGCAGTGTACAAATCTACTATCTGTATCAGTTTTATATTCTACAGGAAGAATTCTACAGGAAGTGGCCAGGCGTTCACCAGACATTGCTGGAAATGTTTAAGATGCCTCATCTTCGGTTAGGTTGTTTTCTATTATCATTTATTTTCCTCATTCCTATGTTTAACTGCTCACAAGATATGCAAAATGAATTGTGTTTAATCGCATACCTAAACTAATCAAACAATAACCATAACCATTAAAAAAGGAAAAGTCTAAATAAAAGCTTTGTAGCTGTTAAAGGAAACAGAAAAGTGTGTCATGTTGTGTGATTTCTCTTTAAAAGGTGGAGGTTATGCATTTGATAGGAGTCCAAACGTTTAAAAATGTGATTATGCACACACGGATTACAATAATGGGCACCATAGAAATTTGCCATAATAACTAATTGAGCCACTTTTTTGTGTTAAAGGTTCAAATGAAAATAAAGGTTGTTGGAAGTGAGCTAAAAACAACACCTGTATAACATCAGCCAAGCTTTATCCTGCACTGATCAAACAATCAGAAGAAAACTGATGGGGTTGAGGATAAACTCCCCTGAATAACAAAACTGAAACTACTGACATTTTGACTGAGGGATTCACATTTCACTCACCCTGACTTGACGAGACATTCATGGACCTTCTGAATGTCCCTCAGTGGGACAGCTCGGAGAGGATCCTTATCCTGGGACATACGTAAGCACAATTCAGACATGGATAGACAAAGACCACAGTCATCAACATGTGAGAAAGGAAAAACTAAAAGTCTGGCTCCTCACCATCTCAGACTTGTAGTAACTGACTGCATTGTCATCCAGGAGGAAAAACCTCCTCTTCCAGCTCTTTCTCTGAAACACACACACACACACACCCATTACAGTTTCCACATGCAGATTTCTTTGTTTGAACACAGCTCATCAGTCATAAGTGGCTGTGTACTCACCACATTTCCTTGTTTGACACAGTAACCACACCTCAGCACACCTGGTCTGTTGCCCTTCCTCTCCCTCCCTTCTGTCTCTTCGCTCTCATTCTGAAACATTTAATTACCACCATTTTCAATATCATTACAACGAACGTGGTCAGTGTAACCGCCATCTTCAAAATACATCAGATTACACACACACACAGTGGTTATGGAGGCTGAGAGCAAGCACAGAAAAAAACAAAACACTGATCCATAATGCTAATTCTGGCTTCTAGCATAATCAGTGTCCTTTGATACCGTCATAGTAACCACAACGGTTTGAGCTTCCTCTTCATTACCTGGATGGGAGTGTGCACCACCACGCCACCGATGATCTCAGTCTTGTAATCATGCTGTCTCCTTCCTCGCTGGGTGTCGCCGATTGCTGCGGTCACGTCGGACCTCGGAGGAGCACGGCCAGACTTAGGAACCTGTCGGCACAGCAGCCGGTAGGATATTATCAACTAGCATGGCATTAACAAGCAGAGCTCAATGGGTAAAGCTTGCTACTAATAGCCAGGGGTTAATGGTTTCATTCCCACTGGGAGTCTTTGTGCTGCAACAGTGCAATTGTAATATGTTCAGCATGAAAACATCCAACACGGTCTATAGGGTTGTTTGACTTTCATGATTCTTTACCAGGCACTTGACACAAACCAGGGAACAGATCTCGTATGACTGAAAGTCAAAGACAGGTTGTGGTTCAATCTATTAACTTTGTTTTATTACTTCGTTTTTTGATTACTTTAGTTTTATTTACTGTACAATATATTAATTTTGTCCAAAATGACTTAAATAAGTTCATTCAAGAGGAACAAGAGTGCATTTGTTGTGTTATGTATAAACTGGAGGTGCTGTTTATAAAAAAAACTTTAAAGAACTAAAATAAAATACCTTATAAAGGCAACATGAAAAATAAATCCTAAGAAATAATAAATGCCGCATCAAACAAATATAACCCCTCTGTCTGGAGAAGCAAAAATAATAATAGAAATATCATGTGAAGGGCTTTATTATAATCAATCTATCATTTGTGAATAAATATGTGAACTTCATCCGTCTGTGCTTTACTTTCATTACTGCATTACGTCAGGTCCATTCTGCTTTAAAAAGTATTACTGTAGGTGTCATTGAGGCCGTGGAAGCTGAGAAAAGGCGGCAGAGAGGCCCTCCAATCGAAGGGGAAGTGAAAGAGAGAGTGAGCGACGCCGCTTCCTGTGTCAGCATGCAGGTGAGAGAAAAAGAGAGACACTCTTCTCCGTCATCTGGATGTCGCACGTCAACAAGGGCCTGGTCATCTCGCTGGACACGCACAAATAATATGCAAATATTATGTGCATGGTCTCACACACACAAAGGTGTTTTGACACCTCCACCACAGTGACGTGCGTGTGTTATCGCTCATAATTGTGCAAATTTACAATTTCATCAGTCAACAAGTGTGTGAGAGGGTAATCTGTGTGCAACGCGACGGAAATTTTAGCCCACTCGGGCCAAACTGGTTTCAGTCACATCACCGCTTCCTGTGCTCAGGTGGAAACAAATCTCTAATCAATATCCCCGAGTTTAGCCTTTTTCTAAACACACATAGGACAAACGCATCTGGTTCTAATATCATGTGTGTGCAGGTGTGTGTGTGTGTGTGTTGCACTCACAGTGATCTTGCTGGCCTTATTGAGAGCAGCCACCCAGTCCCTCATGTCAGTCACATCGTTGGCTTGGAGGAAGTACCTCCGGGAAACTGCATTGATGACTACAGAGATAGACATCACTTTGATGAAGGTCCACAATAACTGCATTACATGATTTTATCACATGTGTAAAGAAAATGAATGCCATTGTGCACTACTGCATAAGCATGACTTAGCGTTTCTCTGAAAAACTCACCAAAGCAGAACTCTGTCTTTGGCTTTTGCTTCGCTGTAGCTTCATTCACCTGAGAAGAGGAGACAATGGGAAAGGAGAGGAGACAAGAGGAAAGAAAGGAGTGGAGACAAGAGGAGAGGAGACAACAGAAAAGCAAAAGGAGACCAAAGGAGAGACGAGGAGACAAAGGTGAAAGAGAGGTAAGAAGAAGAGACAAAGGGGGAGAAGAGGAGGCAAAGGGCAAGGATAGGGGAGACAGAAGGAAAGAATAGGAGATAAGACAAAAGGAGAGAAGGAGGGAGGAGAGGAAAGGAGAAAAAAAGAGAAGAGAGAAGTGAAGAGGAGAAACATTTCATATATTTGCCATTTCTTTGACTCAGAGTGTCCAGGGAGGAGCTGTCAGCACTACCGTGCAGCCAGATGTCATTATCTCTGCTTAGCTCAGCGAGCACTCTGACATCTGGAAAACTTTACAAAGTCTTCTTCTGCATGTGACCGTTAACTCTGGATAACTCCGATCTGGTGTATCTGTGCACCACATTTACATGTTTCTATTTGGGCTCAGATGTCTCCTCTACTGCACATTAAGTTCACTACAACCCACAGCAAAGTGAAAAGGTTTACCTTGGAGATGTAGGTTAGTTTCAGGCTGCCAACAAAACTGGTTCCACTGGGCAAGTTCTGCATACAAACACAAACACACAGACTCGTCATTGGCTCAGAGTCCAAGGTTACACTCCTCCTATTGGTCAATTCCACTTCCTCTTGCTGTTTGTGCAAGTGTGTGTCATGCATATAAGTGTGGAGCACCTGAGGGTTGTCCATATACCACAGCAGAACATTTTCCTGCGTGTCCAGAATGAAGTATCGCCTCTGGAAGCGGCAGCTGTTCTCCTTCTCCTCGAGGTCCAGGAAGCCGCATACACGTTTCAACCGGTCCACGTACGGCATGCTGCTGCTATCACATGTCACTGGGACACACAGACGGAGAGACACTCGAGTCAGATGGACAGTGAGAGGCAAACATGTAAAGGGAGCAACAGAAGGAGATGGACGCATAGGTCAGAAAGAAATAAGACAAACAGATGTGGGGCATAAACCCAACTTTCATATACTGTTCAAATATACACACACACACACACACACACACACACAGGAAGAAAGAGACACGCTCGCACTCAGCAGTTTTTCATGTGACGTGATTGAGGCTGAGCAGCAAACCCCGAAGCCTGAGGCTGAGCTGAGGCCCTCCACCACAGCCAAAAATTACAGACTGCACTCAAGAACTGCACACGCGCACATTTCCACTGGCCAGGGAAGAGAGAGAGGAGGGAGGGAGGGAGGGAAGGAGGAATGGGAAAAAGAGGAGAGAGGTCTGGTGAGATGTACTCATTAAGATGATGCCATGCATGTGAATCACTGAGCTGCTGACTGATTTCTCAACAAAATAAAGACTCATTCAGCTCAGACACTCTCTCAGGTATGCTGATATTTCAAAAATGTCTGGTTTCCAGGAGAACTTTATCCATGGCAAACATCTGTACATGAAAGTACGTTTGTATTTTGTCTTCTGGAGAGACTTGCCAGAAGACTTTTGGCGTGATGAGAGCTCCGTCTTATAATCTCATCCTTGAACCTTCGGTCCATCCACTCTTTTGCATCTCTGCAGACCATCTCACTACATACTCTACACAGTTAGGTGCAGTCATTCACAAGATGCAAAGCAGATTTTATGCACATACGGTCTTACTTTTCCCCACACTTGGATTTATTGAAAGGAAAATGACCAAATGGCCACAAAGGTAATTATGACGGCTAACTCGGCCACATCTGTGACTGATTTGAAGAACAAACAGTAAGTGACAGTCGTGTAAAATATATGATCAGGACTGAATGGCTGAGCCCTCCACCAATACTTTTACAGGATGAATTTCCATGAACATTTCCATGAATACAGTCATACAAAAGCACAGGCAAACATAAACACTAGGCTGTATCTTCACTGGCCTGGTTGAACTTCTGTGACACTATTCTCAAGGTAATAGTTAGAAAAAATGCTTTATTCTGAAACTGCTTTGAAAAATTAGTGGGTTGTTTCTGATGAGTCAGTCGTAACAACCTTTATTTCTTTTGCCACTGAAATAGGTCAGAGATACAAACCATTCAGCAGCCTTTTGCAGAAACTCTGGGTGTAATGGAAAAGAGAAAATGATGCTGCAAAGGGCACACAGACACCCAGGCTGAGACCGACACACCCCACAAACTCCCACACACACCAAAATCTTTTTGGGTATCGGAAAACATCAGGCTGAACCAACACAGGGAGAAGCAGCGGTGAGGTGGACATCTTAGGCAAAAATTGACCACTATACTGTATATAATTAGGACAGTCTTTAACACAGTTCCATGTTACATTTAAAGTACTTTGGCTTTGAATTGTAACAAGATAGCACACATATATACCAAGGAATATAAATGTAGTTTAGGTATGAGGGCAGAACATAGTGTACAGATCACAGCATCATTGTCTTTAAGCACATCCAGGGCAGTGAAGTGAAACCCACCTCCACTCAGTTTACACATCTGCTTTATTTGTGGACAAGTTAAACCTCTTGTCTGAAACAGAAACTGATTTAAACTGATGTCACTCCTACTCGAGCTATTTTGTTATGTACTTCTATGAAGTTCTAAAGAATGGGCAAAATCTAAGTTAATTTGAGTTAGTACGTGCTTTTTATTATTGATTAGACAACGTAATTGTGTATTACAATTTCATCATATGGTTCCATTGAAAGACGATAAAAGCCCAGCCGCACTGACAGTGATGGAGTATTATTGGTTGATGCATTCACATGCAAGTGTTACTTAAATGCTGTAGAAGCTTATTTTAACAGCTTGAGATACGTTCTGTAACAAGGCCTCGCATGTTCAGGGACTGTACAAACATTGTTGGTTATTGTGAGGAGATGAAGTATTTTGAAGTCAAGGGGAGGGTTTGTCAAAAAAAAGAATAAACTGCAGAGGGCCTAACCTTTGTTAAAAACAGGACCACAGGGCACCCTCCCTACCCCAATAGTAACAAGTAACTACTGGCTGTAAAAAGTACAATATTTCCCTCCGAATTCTGTGTAGCTTGAAATAGAAATAAAATACATAAAATCTGAACATAAAACTGAATATATTTGGATTTGTTAGTGGAACAAAACAAGGTTTATGGGAAGTTGTGACAGTTTACAAACAGCGTACATTTCAATAGTAGTGGATTAATAACTTTCTCCACTGCTCTCTCATGACAGCTGGATATTCACATTATTGACCACAGTGCAGAAACGACATTCACGCCACTGAAAACCAAGGGCGTGCACGTGGCCTATAACGTGAATATGAGCGCGCAATGAAACGTTTAAACGTGATCTGGCAGAATTACTCAGCGACACCTGATGGACGCTACATTAGTTCTGCTCAGATGACCTGCACTGAGTCACCAGATCCAACGACTCCACGGCCTGCCACACCTACAGTACTGAACCCTCCGCACACGCGCGCGCGCACACACACACACTCACACAAAGACAATGACACACACGCAGTCACAAAGTGCTACTGTCGGCTGGCTACTTACCCGCAGTGAAGTCAGTTTGCGCCACAGCCAGCGCCCCGCACGGCTCACAAGCACAGAGACACCCGCGCTTGGTAAATAACGAGCATGTCAGAACAAAGTTTTAATAACTTTTACAAACAGCGTACATTGTCAAAGCCGGTCCGGTGTGCATCAGGCTCTCACACTCTCATCTGTTTGTTTGAGTGATCGGATTACAGAAGAGTTGTCTTTTTTCCGGGTTGGACGTTTCGTTATTAGAATAAACCAGCCCCGGATGTGATCTATGCGTCCTGTGAGCTCCGGCCGGGTCCTCCTCCTCTACTCTGCTGCTGATCTCTCATACGACGAGGAACTGACAGCTCAACTCACCTCTGGGCGTTTTCGTTTTAACATCTGCGATTCAGTAAAGGCCCCATCCGTACTTTAGTTTTGTCAGTTTATGCTCTTTTTAGAGGCTTTTATTTAGAAAATACATCAACGTGCGCAGTTTATTTCTTCCTGCAACTGCATGCGATATCTTATCTCTTCTACTGTCGGGTGGCAACTGGAGAACTGTGTCAGACACACACACACCCACACACACACCCACAAATACACGCGAATCAGTTGGTGCCTATAAATGAGCAGCTATAAAAGAAGGGAGTGTAAACCTGGATAAACAGGTACACAGTGAAGAATAGTGTCATTCATACCAACCATGGGAGGTGAGTGTGACAGGTGCAATATGATGTGCCAAAAGCAATTGGGGGGGGGGGAAATCCATTCACTCCATGTACTTTTAAAATTGCAAAAAGTATAGCAACAGGACTACCAAAATGTAATGCTCCACCAATAGCAGGGCCACAGCAGGATTTTAGAAATCTCCCCTCACACTGTTACAAATCTTGACTGTAGTCACCAAACCAAACTCTGTGATATTGTCTGAGCAGATTTTAAAAATCACAAACATTCCCTTTTTACTGGGCGATTATATTTTTTATGTGCATTAATAATAATTGTTCCAAAGCCGCCTCAACATTTGCCAGGTGTTTTTGTGGAGGAAGTACTAAATCCTGTTGATTTCTGTGTATGTAGTTGTGGCTAAAAACAACAATTTGAAATATATATGGTCTAAAAAAATAATATATATAATCTGTAAGTATAGGATTTAACCTACAATTAGAGAGAGAAGAAATACAAAATACTTAAATAAAAATAAACAAACCTCTTGTGCTAGCAGTAGCATGACGGGGCTGGAAATTCAGATGCTGCTGATGCAGATTGGTCCTTTTCAGAGAGTCTGGCAGAATAATAGTGTTTAATTATTGTAGGTGATCGAGTTGGTGCTTGGCTTGACTATCCCCATAGTTTAAATTTCAGCAATGCATTTTATTTTTTGATCTTATTTTGTCAATCTTAATCTGTAAAAGTAGCAACTTCAAGATCTGACAAATCTGGGGGTGCAGAAAGTACAACAGTGCTTAAATACAGTACTCCAGTATTGCTTCACTTTTGTCCCTCCTGTACACAAAGGTGACCACAGTTTGAGTCCTGTGATGAAACTCCTGAGAAGACGGTAAAAGAGCTCGGAGGATGAACTGACCTGACCTCCTGGTTTCAACACGTCTCGTCAATAATCTGTCTTGTTTAGTGTTTCCACACATGTACATGTAGAATCTTCCTCTCTGCTGAGCCTGTCACTTTTATAAGTGTGGAAACAACAATTACTGTGTCTGCATTTACAGGAGTGATGCTGTAATCTGTCTCTCCCCCCCCCCCCCCTCTTTTGGTTAATCTGTGCCCTCTTGTTAAGAGGAAGTGGTTGCATGTCATATGACCTGCCTGAGGAGGGAGACCTACCTCACTGACTTCATATCCTGTGGCGACTGCACAGGATTCAAGTTACACAGTTGAAGAAGGAAGTCCTGATGTTTCCACAGATGTGTTTCTGCTGAATATCACAGAGTACTTTATCTCGTCTGTACGCATGCTTTTACATCAGGGACGCTTACATAAACACAGATTTCTATCAAATGTCACACCAAGATGATCTTAACAAACACACACTGTACACACACCACAATACGAGTGTGATTGTATCTTTATGCAAACAAGCTTGCATGCACAAAGTACCAAATACATCATTACAAAATTCTAAAGATTGTGGAGTTAACATACTTTTCTGTCTGGTTTTCATGGCATTGACACATGTGAATAATGTGGTTCAATGGCATCAAGCGAGCTGCACACTAGCTACCCACTGAGGCACCTAGTGAAACCACACCGGGTGGCTATCACACAAAAGGCGTACTTTATTTTGTGCAGACTTATTCACCACAAACAGGTTCACAGGTTAGCATTTACAGGTTTGGATCATCTGCAAGTGAACACTCTAGATTAGCTAATACCATAGATGATGAGGCTACTATTCAAGTGTTTGATGATAATAAAATAATAACACAATCAAAGGTGCTGAAGCTTGTATTTATGTGACAGACAACCTTCCCTGCACCAACACAGTCATCAGAAACACACTTTTCTCTGACACTCAAATCCATTGGATTCAACTTGCATTGAAAATCCCCGAGGGGCACAGTGACAAAGAGGAGAAGGTGGATGGACAACCTAGCGAATGACTGGAAGGATTGACGGATGAATCACAGCTGACTGACGGCCACACGCAGCAGCAGGGCCGTGATGAGCAGGACGGGGCTGGAGGCCAGAGCCCCTGCGCTGTTGCGGTGGTGATCCCCATGGCTGTGGCTCCGGTGGGGCCCGTTACAGTCATCGCCAAAACAGCATTCCATCTTGGCTCCCGAGCCGACGCCATGAGCCTTGTCGCAGAAAGCCTTGTAGGTGCACGACTTCATCACGGTGTCTGGAAAGAGAGCGAGACAGAGCGAGGGATGTGTGAGGCCGGCAGACGCTCACAGTTTAGTTGCTCTGAAGAGATTGAAGACTGACCACTTGTGTTAATTTGGTACGACGCTGTGACCACGGTGAACTCCCTACCACACTCTTCTGCTCTTAACGCGCACACACACACACACACACACACACACACACACACACACACACACACATATATAAACAAACAGAAGAAGACAGAGTATTGACAGAAGAAAAAATAGGCCATGTATCTGCAAAGCATTCAACAGTTCATAATACTGGTTCCTTGTGGGTTTTAATACTGATTTTAACCCACTTCTTTGTCAATGGATGTGCACTACTATAAGCTTTACTGACTTCTTTAAACTGCTTCTACACACATGCAGTTGGTTGTAAGCGTTATGCCGACCCCTAGTGACGCTTTATTTTACCAAATCATACTTGCCTTGCATGTTGGTTGTGTGTTTGTATGTGTGTGTGCGTGTGTTTGTTTACTCACTGGGTCCTGTGATGGTGGAGCAGGCATCAGCATACTGAGGGCAGGAGGTGGAGCCGTGTCTGTTGCAGTCGTCCTCATTGGACGCCACGCATGTGTGACATTTGAGGGCGTGGCCTTTGCAGACAGAACAGGAGAGACCACCTGACTTGAGACTAAGCATGTATGTTCACAGGTGGGTGAAAGCATGCAGACGCACATGCTTTCACCACAGGCACACACACACTCACTTGCAGGTGCAGTTAGTGGAGGCTGTCAGTCCCTTCCTCAAATTCGTGACAGGGAGACATTTGCACACAATGAAAGCTGCTGTATGTCACAACAACCTGTTGTATTGCACTAGTAGTGTGTATAGATTGTTCCACCATGCCACGACATGAACATCGTTCGAGCCTTGCAGGTTTAAATCTGTGATAGATTGGTATGGTATGGAAAATGTCCCAAATTGTGCAGACCTCAAGCTAAAATTGCTTTGCTGCTGCGTAAATCAACAATCTTCAACCAGTATCTGCTTTTTGGAACCAAACATCCTGGATCCCTTGGGTCATGGTGCTTCGGTAAACTCTCAGCAATTAGTCTGCCTGCTGTTAACTAACTAAATCTTTCCCCAATACTGAAACCCCAAAATCCAATGTTGGCATCAGTGTTGTAAAAACTTACTGTGGCATGCCAGAGAGATGAGCAGCAGCAGGGCTAGAGGAGTCTTCATGGCAGCTGGCCGCTTGTCACTGTGTCTTCTAGAGTCCACAGAAAGAGAGGATGAGCTGAGAGGAGTCTCTGATGGAGGGAACACTGAGGGGTTGAGGTGGAGGAGGAGAATTGAGGGGGTTTAGGCACAGGAAGGTGTCTGAGAGCATTACGGTCTTATCTCTGTAATCTCCATCTATGCTGCACAGCCAGCAGCCTGTGTTAATGGACTTAACCGAGCAAGCTTTAACAGGGTGACACAGTTACAGGTCTGTAAGGATTTTGAGTTTATTTCTTTGAGTGTTGATTCTACAACACTGTTTTTGTAACTACGAACAGTTTTCAAATAGTGAATGCAGAACGCAGTCTCTCACATCACTGCCTCAGCTGGGACGTGTAGGAGTGTGTTTGTTTGTGTTTGAATGTGTGTGTGTGTGTGTGTGTGGGGGGGGGGGGGCTAAACACTGTGCTTCATTACCAGTGCTGAAGCTAAAGTTGAGGCCATGACACACACACTGATAACATCCCACTGACACACACACACACACACACTGTGAGAATGTATACTTTTCTGCTTTGACTCTGTGGTAAAGGTAATAATGAAAACTGCTTAAGCACAAGTAAAAGAAAACATTAACAACTTGTAGTAGAACAAATTATATTTATGTTTATTCAGGCAAATGTACACACCCACACACTGTTAGTCCTCAAAGTGTCAACACAAGTGTGAGATCCTCATTTCTAATGTACAAACAATAATCAAAGAAAGGGGCTAAAGTGACAAAACAATACTTTGTAAAGCACAGACAAACCAGCTGAGTAACGAGATGCAACGTGAAATTAGAATGGCACAAATATAAACTGTGGCTGATACCCGATACCTGATACCCAGTTACTAAATCACAGCCTCCTAAGTCATAGCTACACAACTAGTTTGACTGGTGTGTTAAGAAAACAATCTGCATTCTGAGAAATACAAAGCTATGAAAATAATCATGCAAAGAAACAGATTTATCTGCTGAATAATTGGTGCAGTGCTGTAAATACAGGCATGAGAGGTCACATTTTCATCACACATGAGCAACAGACAGAAACCTCGTACAAAGCTCTTTAACGCTCTACTTCTCTTGGTTGGAGGTACAAGTGATCAGTGGACACTCTGTGACACAGTGAGGATTTAAGAAGAAAATAATTGTTGACATATTGCAGTGCTTGCTTTCCTTATAATAGATTCAAATATATTTAACCAAAATATAGAGTCACTATGCTTTAATGTTTTCCAGTTGTTCTCGTTTCTCTTCAGCATAAAGTTGTGTCTTTACTGACTTCAGACAAGACAATTCCACTAAGTTATATAATTACAGCAAAGTCTATGATTGTCCAGTTATCATACTTGTGACACTTTCCGCAGCTACTTGAATTGTCCAGAATCCAGATAAAGCAAATGCTTTGAATTATTTGCAGCGTTAGTTTTACTGACATGTGGTCCAAACGCAGTCTGGTTTCAATGTCTCTCCTGAACAAACCAAGGCCTCTGAGCTCTACTGTGTTTCCTCAAACAATCCTTAATCCTTTCCTACAGTTCTTGTGCAGCCCTGACTTTGACCCTGACCTCGTTCTGCTCCACACAATACCCCTGAGCTTTGCTCTTTCAGAGTAAAATCCTTGTTCACTTTATAAAAAAATACATTTCATGGATCGTTGCATTATTACAAAACAATCCTTGTCAAAGCGAAATATACTGTATGCCTAAATGTAACTCTTAAACAACCCCCGCCTGCATGATGTCCTCCCAGGCGTTGCTGGAAATTTAGCCGTTAAGCTGCTGGGAATTTAAATTGAGTCACAAGATGTTTGTTGCTCACTGGCATGAAGGGCGAAAACACAAGAGGTCCAGATGCCTCATACTGGGCAAAAATGCAAACAAAACAACGTGACCACATACACATAACAGAGTCCCAACTACAACAATTATTAGCATGTAGAGAACCTTTTTGATTCAGGTCACAAGTAGTGCAATTTTAGTATACATGAAGTTACTTTAGACATCTGTATAGAAGCAGTCTCTGTGATGCAGGGCTGGCAGATGGCTGGAGGCATGCACAGGGCGTCGCTGTTAGGCAGGACCGGAGGGACGCTAGTGGCTGATCACAGGGAGTGTCTCTCAGTCTATTCTTCCCATTTTGGCAATCAGCTCATCACAGATCTTAGTGAGTTCCTCCATCTCTTGATTCTATGACAACACAAGAAAGGATGCATATGTACATTTAATACATCTCTCTATGCTATAGTGTACAAATACGGTAAATATGTTGTTTTGGGGCTTTTTTTTAGAACTAAAAGTTTCATGTAGAATCAGCGTGCAGAAAGATGAGGATGACTGTTACCTTCTGCTGCAGAGCTTGTTCCAGAGACTCGTTCTTCATCTGATCCTTCCTCAAACTGGCGGTCATCGCCGTGTTCTCTGAGCTCGCCTTTGCGCGCACCTGAGCAATATCCTCATTGGCCCTGAGAGATGCGTGGGATGAGGGAAATTAACATGATCTCAAATCTGTAAAGCTTTTGATTTGTTATAACTGACTTGACAGGAAAATTAGACTTCATTTCAATCTCTACATACTTGTCTAGTTTCTCCTCAGCATGGAGTTTAAGTGTCTGGTATCTCTGCTCCTCCTGCTTGATTCTGGCCAGATACTCCTGAGCACACTTCTTCAGCACCTCCTCATTCTGTACGAGGAAAAGAAACAACAAGCACAGCGTTATTGCTGCTCTAATCCAGCTGCGAGTCAACTGGGGGGGGGGGGGGGGGGGGGAGGAGGTGGGGGGGAGGTCTGTGAGGGGGGGGGG